GGGGGGGGCTGGGCGGGAAGGAGGAGGAGAAGAGGAGCGGGTCGGGCTCATGACAGGGGGCAGACGGCCATCCTCCCGTGCCCGGCCACGAAGGGCACGTTGCTTTTCCCGCCTTCTGAGTTCTCCGCCGGATCCGGAGTCCCTGGGGAAGTACGCTAGACAAGGGTTGACTTTAGAAGAGCGAAGCCAAGCGCCTCCTTCTGTTTGGCGCTCATTCGCCGGGTTCAACACGGGGGAGGCTACAGTTTTGCGGGCGAGGCGTTGTTGCTGGTGCTGCTAAGAAGTAGCATCCTATGGATCGGGTTGACGAGACAGGTATTACTACCAGAGTTGGCGGCGGTGCAGGGCGCCCTTCGCTGAGCCACCTGCCTGATACCGATTCCGACCTGTTCCTTGCGGGCTGCTCAGAGACTGCACAGCGTGTGCCAAATTACACGATGGATTCCGTGGGGCGGGGTGTTTGGGGAGGCCTTCTATTTGCTTGCAACTGTGAATCAGCGGGAATCTTGCTCTGCCAGCTTGGTTTACTATAGCATATGCCAGGTGGAGGAGGTGGGCATAATTTTGGAACATGAAGAAGCAGAGCACAAAAGGCCCTCCTTTTGGGGGGTAACTTGTCTATTTAGTTCATACAGTATGCTGGAAAGATAAAATGCCTTTGTGTTAATCCATGAATATTTGTTTAGACGTAGCATGTTAGGTGAACACCCAAGCAGTTGTATTTTATTAATTCAAGTTTAAGATTTACAGTAGTGTGTTCTGTAAGCCTCTGTGCGCGCGCATGCCTCCAAGTCAGTCTTGACTCCTGGCAACTGCCTGGACTAGTCCCTGCAGTTTTCTTGGCAAGATTTCAGAAGTGCTTTGCCATTGCCTGCTTCCTAGGGCTGAGAGATAGTGACTGGCCCAAGGCCACCCAGCTGGCTTCGTGCCTCAGGTGGACTAGAACTCAGATCCTCCCGGTTTCTAGCCTGTGGCCTTAACCATTACACCAAACTGGCTCTGTGAGCCTAACCAACCTGAATGTTTTAATTTAGTCTCTGACAGGAAGGAGGAATGAAATAAATGCTACTTACAATTTGGAATCCATAGCAAGACATCTGCCTTCCAAGAACAAAATGATGGAAGAGCACAGAATATTAAGCACCCAGCAGCAAGTCACAGTAGTACACTCATTAGGCTTTACATCTGCTACCCGTGGAAGCATGCATACACTTCCTTGAAGATATGGGGGGGGGGGGGGGTGTTGAAGTCAAGAGGCAGATGTTCAGAGCAGGTATCAAGGATGGCCTGTATGATTTGATATTTGTCCTGCAAAAAGCTCAAGGCATCTGCATTACTTCTTGGAGCATCAGGTCAAGCTTCTGATGAAAGCTGGTTCCTTGTGTCACCTCTCAGAAGCTTTGCAATATTGATTTCCTTTGATATCCAGTCAGGTGCAAAATGACTGACAGCTGTGCGAGAACAAGGACAGCAGCCTAGATTGCATTGTCAGGGAAGTGCCGCTTTAGATAGGCTGATAAAATATCTTCAGAGTTTGTAATACGCTACAGATCAAAAATGCAGCAGTCACTAATAGGTCATGCAATTTAAAAAAAAAATAAAGACACCTTCTTCCAAAACAGAAATTCCATCCTTGTTCAAGTCATGCTCTGAGGAGAAAAGCTTTTCATTTAAGCAAGTCAGACAGCAGATACTGTGCTATTCTCAAGTCTCATCTTGCAAAATCTCATTGCAGCTAGGTTATGGTCTGTCTCAGCCTTTCTCAATCTTTTTTCCCTTAAGGATCCCTTAAAATAATGTTCAGGTCTCAGCGAATCCCTGCATAAAAATTATTACATCAGTAGCTCATGGTACATTAATGTGGTCAGTAAGCTGAGTTGCAGCACATAAACATTCCCACTCTTACAAACACTAGCACTGTGTGGTAGGCAAAGTTCAAAAAATGATGTTTATTTTTTTTAATCACAGTCTCTTGGGGAATCCCTAGCAACCTCTTGCAGAAGCCTAAGGGTCCGGGGAACCTCAGTTGAGAAAGACTGGTTTATCTTCTAATGAAAATATGTATGGATCCTTACATAGGTAGGCCCTGGCTGCAAGGAGCTAACAGTTTCCTAGCAGGAAATATTGATGACACGAAAGACAAAGTTAGTGAAAATAGAGTGCAAGTAAATTATAGGATGACTTAAAATGGGTGGGCAACCATTTTGAAATGTGGGAGCACGCTACTTTGGGTTTTCAAAGGCCGTAGGGAGTCAAGGCTGGTGGTGTAATGTCTCAGCAGAATAGAACTAACATTAAGTTAAGGCCTGAAATTGGTGCATACATTTAGTCCTTGCTTTAGCAACAAAAGAAAGAAATGAAGCTACCAAAAATTGGCAGTTTGCTGGTAAAATTCCAGTGCTACAATTTGGGGTTGATGGGGGGGGTGTCATAAAATGAGTGCTGAACAAGCATATGTCCATCTCTGCTTTAAAACTTAGTTGCAATTGTATGTTCAGACTATTTCATTTGAGGAAAGTGTTCTAAAAATGCTAAAAGAGAGGCCCACCTTAGTAACTGATAAAAAAAACCAGAGGTAATAGTTAGACATCTTGAATCATGGTGACAGCGACTAGTCCAAGTCCCCAGCATCACCAAACCTAAAGCTCAAGAGTTGAAATTTAGAGATATCAAGGGGGAGAGCCTAAGATGATGCAGAACAGCAATTCTTTGAAGCCCAAAATCTGATAAGTGGATTAGTTTTGAGAACATAGCAGGGAAGAGGAGGGGTTATAGCTGAAAGCCCCCAAGATCTGGCAGGAAATCTGGAAAATCCTGTATTCTCCTATTTCTTTTTGATTTTTTAAAACTAAAGATATGCTTTTATGAAACATGTTGTAAAGCATTTTCTCTCAATTGACACACCTCAGAAAGTTAGCATCAGTAGGCCCTCTGCAATCCATTACTACGTGGCACTACTTATCCATTGATGCACTGCATTGTGGCTAAGTTATACTGTATCTATTACTGCTGGTAGGCACACATCAGATCATTTAGCACACCTGAGTATTTTGCTATAAACAATTTAGTGTGTGCCAAAACAGCAGATGATGATGGTTGCTGCCGCCTGTCTTAAGAACAAACCAAAAAACTGAATCTTGAAGCTTGGGAGAGGCCTTGCAGTCATGCTTGCTTGGAAATTGTTTATAATTTGCATATTTGTAGTTTTGGCAGCAGTTTTTAGTTCAGTGTGATTTTATCTATCTTCACTTTTTGGTTGTGATTTTAAACTTTCTGCGCTATCTTAGGAAAATGTTTTGAAGGTGGTATGCCATTTTTTAAACATAAGAGAATGCCTCTCAGAGCTCTCATGGAAACTATGGCTATTGGACTTTGGGAGCATGAAAGCTAACCTATTTGCCCAGTGATTGCTTTGATTGTGTCCTATGTGGAGTCTGTTAGCTATTTTCTGAAAGACTCACTGGCACAGGGTAAAGAAATAGCATGCAGAAGTTTAGGGGGAAGAGTGATTTTAAAAAGCCCTATAGGTGTGCTGCCAGAAAGAAATGATAGAAATATCACTGAAAGTAGGCCCAACAGACTTGAGGGAGCATGCCTTGCTGCATTCTGTGGACCTTCGTGTTCTCTCAGCTCCCTTGTTTGCTTACTTGCTTGTACCCAATCTTAATCCTGCTGGCCCTGAATGGCAGGGTGGATATAATAAAGAATGACAGGCAGTCCGGAGTTTGGTAATACAGCCGAGTGATACATTCATTATTGGGACTCGTAGGCCCTTGAAGGACCACCTTGAATAGGCAGCTGGCTGGCTTGCTGCAGGAGCAAGTATTCTGAATGGATGGTGGTCATAATGGATAGTTCTTCATAGGAGACAGTAATATCATAAATGTAAATTATTGTTTCTTAGAATTAGGAATGGAAGAAGCTGAAAATTCTTTAACTTTCAGCCCTCTGCAACAGCTTCTTCTTAACCAAAAGAGTGACTTATTTCATCACCTAGATTTTCCTTTGAATCAGATTTGATTGCTGGTGACTTCATGGACATATCCATGTAGTTTTCTTGGTAATAATAAAGAAGTGTTTGGAATTGCCTTCTTCCAGGATGTTCATTTCTTGCCCTGGTATTCCCTGGAAGTCTCTCTCTGAGTGCTAACTAGGTCCAACCCTGCCTAATTTTAGCACTCAGAGGTTGGCGCTGCCATTTCGTTTGTTCGTTCATTCATTCATTCTTTTTTATGGCTCTCCATTCATGTAGAGAGTCATTAGTCACATAGCTAGCTCTCAAATACTATCCTTAGAAACACTCCATTGCCTAGATATGATTATTATTATCATCTCAATATGTAACATTTCTCAAAGATGTCAGACTACAACTGCTTAGCTTCAAAGCCATGAAGTGCAGGGCAAATTGTCCACTGAAATGAGGGAAAGGTGAGAAGGAGAAACGGGTTTAAATTGCCTTTGGTATAGGAGGGAATTTCACTTGCCCAGTAACAACTGCTTATTATCACTTCAGCCTAGTTGCAATAAAGGTTCTTACCTAACCATGGCTTATAGAGCATTGGAGAGACTTCTGCTGAATTCAAGTCCAGCAGCTTATTTCAGTAATGTAAAATCAACATGTTGAAGATTTAAAGCTGAATCCTGGTCCAAGGAGTCTGACAGCTTAACCACCTTCATTATATTCATCTCTATTCATTCCCACTCCTAAAGGAGGGCATGAGCCATTACAGTTTCTATTTTAAGCAGAGAAATTTAGAGAAGCCCCAAATGTTGGTTACTTCCCAAGTTAGGCACTCTCTGGAAGTCTGTATTTCCTCTCCATTAAAAGTCTTACAAGATCCTTATAAATAGTATTTCTACTGAACTGCAAAATTACTGGCATTCGTTTTCTTGTAGCACATGGTAGAGCC